AAACCCTAGAGCTAGGCTAGCTAGCATTCCGAAACGAAAAGAAGGGTGGTACTCAGTGTACCCAGAGTGGGTACCCAGCGGTACCCAGAGGTACCCATACAGGGTACCCAGCGGTACCCAGACGGAGTACCCAGCAGTACCCAAACCACACATTACAAAAACTACTAAACCCTAAACCCTAAACCCTAAAACGTGATTCTAAATAGAAATGACTATAGAAAAAAACATACCTTCGCCATGTACGCTGAAGATGCTTGCTGTAGTAGCTTCGTGTAGAAGGATGTGAAATGGAATAATCGCCTGCAACTTCTCCTTGTGGATGAATGTAGAAATCCAAAACGCTGGAATAGGTAAAACTAGAAGAGACGTTTCGGTTCCTAGGTATTACCGCGCTTTTTTTATTTTTATGGGCAATTCCGGTCGTCGGGCAGCGCTGTAAAAAAGGAACACGTGGTAAAAGATCAATGGGGTCAAGGTGGGCTCCACGTGTCGTTCAGCGACGGGTTTGCATACATAGAGCTATTTCCGCACTCCACACCCAATAAAAATTCTATAACGTTGGGAATTGATAATCTGCTGTCAATCATTACCACAGTGTTCAGTGTCACTTTTACTTGGTTTGTGGTTATCCATACCAAGTAATGTAGAGAGGAAGGGTGATACCTTTCATGAACGCTCCACATAGAGTGCACTTTGTAGTTCAGGACTTGAGGGTATGTTATCCAACAAGCTTCTTAGTTCCTGCTCTGAAGCACTTTACATTTCTCATTATGATAAAGTTTTGGCCAATCGAATTATAATCTAATTCCCTATAAAAAATAGGGTGTTGCTTGTGCCGTACACAGGTCCAGTAAAACATCCTAGGATTTGTGTAGGCTTTGAAAGTTCACCCTCAACCTCTCACTGGAAGACTTTGGGTATTTTCGGGTCAAAAGTTTTCATAAGATGGATTAGATTTAGGATAAGACAACCTAGAGATTTTGCTTTATTTTGGAAAGATTTTATGTTATGATTCCAAGTTTGCCGTAAGTGCATGCCCTTATGGTTAATTATTTCTCCTGATGACTAAAGAGAACGTTCGATTAAGGCCAATCGTTAGGTAGATACTAAGTGCTTAATATATAGCAGCAACAAATTTGATATATGGTTTAAAAATTTATCATTGTGAACTTAAAATGGATGATAGGGGAATAACAATGAACTCGATCAAGATCTTATGTTATCACGGTCATTTGTCTACCTAATTAGAGGAGGTAATCAATCTAACCTGATCAAAGAATTTTTGTTGATAGCTATGCCTTATTTTGTCTAAGGGAATCTTGTAGATTTAGGGTGAATGTTTGTTTAATGAGAAATTTAAGTTGATTTTAGCAAATGGAAGGTTTTGTGTCTTTTCAAGTGCATTTTATGATTCATTGCTCAATGATTTTTAGCATTGGAAACTTATGAGCTCTGACCGTGATCGTAATTTAATGTTGCCATTTTGAGACAAAATCATCCGGATCATAATTGTTTACTTTTATGCTATTTGTCTATAAAATCACCTATTGTGCGACATCTTTACTAGCGAGATATTATTTAAGAATGAATTATAACAATGCTCGACAAGACATTGTCCCTTTATGAGTTATTCTAAAAAAATTTCACCTTAGACGAATGATTGTGGAGGGTGAATTGATTTTGCTTCGAGTCACATGAGGTAGATTTTACTTGGAAATATTTTTTAAGATTTTGACAATTATTGAATTTCTAAATTTAATTGGAGTTTGAGCCTCGAAAGATTAACTTTGAAATTTGTGGTATTTTTAGAGCAATACCCCATATGTTTACTTGAAGTTTTTGTGGCTCTATTGTTTAAAAATTATTTGAAATTTCTTTAATTCTTTCCAAATTAGGTCCTGAAAATTCTGTGTGGCCACCATTTGTCATGGTATGTTCGTCTGTGGATTATATCGAGCCAGGTTGTGACACATAATATTCAACATTTAAATGAATCTTCATCATAAGGTCCCCGAAGCCATTATGCAAGTATCTATTCAAATATTTTGTTGAGATTGGCAATTGAAATGTAGATCCTCAATTTGCAACACAAAAGTTCACTTTAATTAGAGTTGTGAGAATTATAATTATTATTTTGTCTTCCAGACAATTTATGAACCTAGGTGCATTTTGACTCCACCCTAGACATGTGGCGGATCAGGTCATGGCATACCCCATATTTTCTCTCATATTTATTCTCGGATCTTTATATTTGTAACACCTTGCAATATCTCTTAACAGTATTGTAGTATTTCACACATATAAAAATTCAATTTTATTAATTAACATATAATACTTTTGAACATTTGAATAATTATATAAATCATCCTACAACATTTTATTTATCACATATATAGAAGCATCTAATAACTCTATTTACTTTAAAACAAATACTTAAGACTACATAGTCACTAAAGAAATTTAAAATAATACATCACTGAACTATCTACATACCTCAAATGTAGACTCACAAACGAAGATAAACACTACATAAAAGATGAAATAACTTGCAAGTTAATTTGCAACTATCTTTTTTTTTTCCTGTAACAATAGTCAGTAAGAAAGACATTTGTTAGATATGAGACTCAATAAGTTATGCAAATTTAAATAGCAGCTAAATTGCATAATTAAATTCATAACATTGAATTCACAAATTAAATAAAACTTTCATCATTAATAAAACATCATAAAATAATATTTAGCTTTAAACTTTACTTCCTTAGAAGTCTTTATTGAATATCAATATTAGTATGATAAAAAATTGGCTAAACTTTCATCAACATGTTCAATGGAACCATGTAAACTTTACATTATCGCTATTGAACAGCATAAAGGTCCATTTTGCCTCTTTAGGAGTCATTTTTGCCCTACTTGCCAGGCAAGTATCATATCTTTGGGATTTCTTTTGCCTCATTTATAATGCAATGTCATATGTAGGGACCCTTTTGCCCTACCTGCAATTGTAAATTGTACATAATTTTATAGCCAAATTTTATTTAAATCGATATTCACTGAACTTCCCATAACAATAATTCGTACTGGTAATATTGCATGCATTCATTATGGTTATTGTTATATTATGTATATAAAGAATATGTATACAATATGTAAGGAAATTGATCTCCTTCTGAAACATTATCAATTAAGAAAATATTTTGATGAACATACCAAACCTTATTTTGAACTCACATGCTGAAATTATGTAAACGGTTATTTATACTTGAAAACTTTAGATATGAACATCATTAGTATGAAAACTTGGATAAGAACATCATTAATCAAAATAAATAACTTGTAATACATATGTTCATTTAATTTAGTCAATTATCAGTATACAAGTATAAATTAACAAAAATTGCCTTAAAAAATTTAATTTGTATTACTTATCTCATTGCCGAGGTGTCTCCTCCAATCCTCTAATTTGCAGTCTTCTATGATTGTAAGTTACATACGAGTAATCTCTCTCATTCTATAAATCCTACAATTTATTATTCAAATAAATTGTATAAAAATCAAGCCATACATTTATAACCATTTACCTCTTAACCTCCTCTCTGCATATGATCAATAATACCTATGACACGATAAGATACATCTTATAAAGACTTTCAATACTATTTGGAAATCCATACGACAACAATGCATATTACCAAAATTGCTTACATTGATTTCCTTTTCCTTAAATTATCTTCTTCGTTTATGTTGTTCTTTTCTTCAACTTTTTCTTTCCACTGTTCCAAGACACTACACTAAATCATTGATTCTTCAATTAGTTTGTACACTCATATCAAACTACAATTCATTACATGAATATGATTAAATTTAAATCTTACTACAGATTTTTAAATAACTATGTTGTTAATACCAGGACTACTACCGTAATCTCCTGCAATGAAAGCCAATCCTTCCTCACAGAACTTCCCCAGTGCACTATGCCAAATAAAATGAAAATCACTGTGCCGATTTTCTTCTAAAAAATTTCTCCTGGCTGCTACAGTGCTTCCCGTCACTGTGCCGAACAAAGCAACAGTGATTCCTGCATTAAGCGGAAATCTTCTTAGCCATTTCACCGAATTCTACTACAGTGCCGCCCAATTCCAGATTTCCTTGCATTTACTGTGCCGTGCTCTCCCCGCCACTGATTTCTTGAATTTTTATCAGAAAGAATGGAAGATGGGGCCCACCACTATAACTAATTGCTAAAAAATCCTCAACCAATACAAGCATCTCTTCGGATATTAAATAATTACGTGTCTTTTAGATTTTACAATATTTACTAAAAACAGTGGTTTACATGCTACAATCCCAAGAAGGTTTGGGGCACGAAATACGGTGCCTAGAATAATCTCAAAATTTTGCTCTTTTTATTTATTTTACTAGTGCTGATATTTTTTTGGTTTTTAACAAAAAACAACATTGCTTGCTATCATTCAAGCCCCATGATAAATGTCAAGTAATGAATGATATCTAAGGAGCTCCAAGGGTTACTAATCTTATCGGGGTTTCACCTTATTTTCTCTTGATCTCGTTTTTGGACGATAGCATGGCAGGAGTTTCTGTTGAATCCTTATTTTGTTGTGATTTTTGTTCCTCTTCTGTCTCTTTTGAGTGATGTGGTAATTTTTTTAAGAAAGTTTTCAGGTAGACGCTTGTTTAGGCTTATCTGATTTGTAAGCCTACTACTTGTTGATCTACCATGTATGCTGATTGTTTCAGGTTCAATCTGTGAAAATCGTCTACCTATGGATGTGTTTAGCCTGTTGCTTTAATGTTTTCTTCGTGACGGTTATGTTTTATAAGTCCGCATATGAATGTATTAGTTATTGTTTAGTCTAATTTTCTGTGAAGTTTTTGGAATTACCGTTTTTTTTATTTGTTTTCATCTTTTATTCTAGAGTGGCTATTTCTTCAGAAAGCAACCAATACATAACATTTGTTTCATTAATGTCAATTTGTTTCAGCTAATTTATGATTCAATCAAAAGTGGAGGGTCCGCAACATCAGGATTTGAGAATTGCATGCAGTTTTTCCCATCTGAATTATTTTCTGGAAGGTGATTATTAGAGTATATTTACCACTTTTGCTTTTGAAGTTCCTAATTTGTTATTTAATTCACCTTTTTCGCGCTAGGTCGGGATCATGGACTGGTGGTGGAGGAATATGGGTAGAGTTATCAGGAAAAATGCATGTCTTAGCTCGGCTGTTGGCCCATCTTCGTCAGAAAACTGATGACAGAATAGTTCTCGTGTCAAATTACACTCAGGTGTGCTGAAAATTGCATTTATGAATATCTGGCGAATTATGCTGAATTTTATGTTTCTCTGCCTTTATTCCTATAGACAAATTACATAACGAATCTTACTATGGAAACAAATGTATATTGGATTTTCCAAGCTTTCTAAATTTCTTCGTGTTACGTATCACTGTTGACCACCGCGTAAAAGCCAACAAAAAGAAAAATAAAATAAAATTCCTGCTCAAATCCTGTATCCATCCCGTATCTCTGTCGTGCCCACACCGCCGCAGCTACAGTGCCCATCTCCTGCAAACGTCGCCATCTCAGAGCAGGATACGCAGAGATCGTGCGCAGGCCTCGATCTCGCTCCCATGACCGTCGTTAAATACCCGACCCATAGAGACTCTTCCCCCGCTCGAACTCTCCCCCAGTCGCAAAGCTCCCGAACTCCTCTACCGACCGACCCCCATAGCCGACCAAGAGCCGAGCTCCACTGCCTCTCTACCTCTTCCATTCACGATCCACTGCTGAATTTTATGTTTCTCTGCCTTTATTCCTATAGACAAATTACATAACGAATCTTACTATGGAAACAAATGTATATTGGATTTTCCAAGCTTTCTAAATTTCTTTGTGTTACGTATCACATTTAGGAAATTGAGTTATTTTTCCACCTTACGGAATTCTCCCGCCTCGCCGGCTTTCTTTCGCTATTTAAAATAAATAGGAAGCCTAGAGTATCAAATTTCTTCCCACCCTTCTACAACAGCCGCCGAATCTTTCCCTTGTTCTTCCTCTTTGTTCCTTTCTCTCAAAGAGCAGCTACCAAACCTCCCTATCCTCTCTCTCATAGATGTCAGATGATTTTCTACCTCTTATAGCTGTCGTTATAGGACGTTTTCAGCCTTCCATTTCTTTTGATCAAATGCTGACATCAACAAACAATCCTCTCATTTGCTGGAAGTGTATTTCTCCCTATTGATCTCTATATATATTTAGCAATTAATAGAGTACATCGAAGGTGATTAACATATATGTTGCTTATCAGAGCATCGGGACACCTCGATGGCCATCAAAATGGCTCAAAATTTTATCCGATCACGAAATAGATCTTATTGATGTGCTCAAGACACCAGATTTGCTAATGAAGAGTCATTCGTGCATAACTCAATCAAAAATGATGAAGAGCATGACTGTTGGCAACCAGAGCTCTGCATTGGGTACCCATACTCACACCCACCCATGTACTCACCCATACCCAATGGATATGGGTGGGTATGGGTACGCCCATGACCTTATGGGTGGGTATAGGTTGGTACTCAACATCTTATATTATTGCAATCATCACTACATAGTGTGTAACACTTAACCATGCTGCGACTACGATAAATTATGATATGCGTTTTGAAAGTTTGCAATCAGAGCAAAGGGCGGCAAGTCTCAAGGCGATCAATCCATGGCAGACTACGTTCAAAAAATATGGAAAGTGGGTGGGTATAGCTGGGTATGACATCCCGAAAGCCACCATGGGTTGGTGTGGGTGGGCGAAGCTCATCCGAGTAAAGGATGGGTACCCAATCAGGACCCTATGTAGGGCATTGTTGGCAAGCACGACACTAGAAAAAACTATCAAAATGATCTCCGATCGTTAAACACACTGCGTTGATGCGATCAGAGCATTAGATTTACCTAAGGGGGATCTCTCGCAATTGAATTGGGTGAAGGCGGTCGAAATTGATAGGCTATGGACGAACCATTGTATGACGTTGTCCAAACATCGTCAGTTTACAAAACGGACTTCACCGTTGTGACCGGAACATCAAAATTAGTCTGCAAGTTGACTCTTATTTACCTTAGCTTCCATATAAATAGTCCAAAATAATTTCCCAGATCATATAAAAATTCATCATAAAATAAATAATTTGGCAATCATTTTACTCTTGGATTGAAGTGGTTAGAGGTAAACTTGTTGTTGACTCGGTTGATATGATTAGCCGAAGGATAATTGTGGATCAATGAGCTCAGAGAAGAGTTAGTGCTTCATATTTACGAGTACGCAAGGGAGATTACTGTAAGGAAAGAATAATTCATTATTAGACAATCAACACCATCTAAGATTGAGTTTGAAGATAACTATGAGTGTTACAACTTACAAGTGGATATCGAAAATAGGGAATGCAGCCGTGGAGTTTGGCTAATAATTGAACTACCTTGCATCCACGTAATTAGATTCATTAGATCTAAAAAACACCCATTATGATACATGTAGATTAGCATTTCCATGTGTTTATGCGTAATTATTTAATAGACGTCATCACTTCGTTATTTGTTTGTACGGCTTATTCTGATTTTCATTGTAGATGTAGAATGGCCTATGAACGTGCAATATCAATTCAACCAAGGGAGGAACAATTGAGTGTAGTTGGTGATGGTGTGGAGATTGAGGTTCGTAAGACTTTTAAGCAAGGAGGCGAATCGAGGAAGAGAATAATAAAATGTTTCATATAAAGCAATAATATAAAATAAAAAGTGTTCACAAGCATGGTCGTTGTGGACCAAGAGTAATCTCAGGAGCATTTATAAGAATGATCTAAATGAAGCATGTGGAACAATGACTGATGTTATATTGGTTGAACAATGAATATGGTGAAATTGGAAGTTGAGGTAAGCTTCCAATTAGGTGGGAGGTAGGCATTGAATCAAGTCGAATTGAGCTAAGCTTCCAATTAGGCGGGATTATCCCATAGATTGGACTTAACTTGATCATATTAAAATTTGTTCAAGTCGAGCTTTAATATATTTATTTATATTTGTACTTTGCTTGTTTAGATTCTTTTTAATGCTTGAGCTTGGTTTGTACTCAACTTGCTTAAATTAATTAAACAAATATTTAATAGAGCTAATAAGCAAGCTTAAAAAATAAATGTGTAATTGACTTTTTATATTATTAACTAATAATTTTATAAGTCTAAATAAACTAGCGATGCAATAAATAAGTAATTAATATTAAAATACTTGACATTAAATAAACAAGAATCAATTAAATAAATTTAATTTAAAATTTATAAAATAGGACATATTCATATCCATCATTACATCCAATCCTAACAACAAATGCATGCACAAAGAAGAAATTCTTATGAGAGATATATATGTCAGATTGTGTTTCTAAATATTAAAAAATCAACTTTAATTTGTGTCCATACTTTTTAAATATTTTATTCTAAAATAAAAAAATGGAAAGAAGATAAATATACAAACAATTTATCAAAAATAATTATACAAGCTTACAACCTCATCTTAATGGTAATGGGGAAACTATGAGAATACAAGCGATAATGCTTGTTGGTACACTATAAAAATTAATATATTTGTTGCTCATTCTAATAAATTTGGTAAGTGGGTCGAACTTTATAAATATGACATGTAGATCAATGATTTTTATAAACATTTTTATAACAAGTTTTGTAAAAAAAGTGAAAATCACTTTTTTCAAATATTCTATCAAATTAATTTTGAAATTAAATTCTAATCTTTCAAAATTTCATTTAAACATTTCCATCCAAATAAATTTACTTGCTAATAATGTATTGACAACATAATAGATGCTTTTAAGAGTCATGCTAATCATGAAAGTCCTGCTTTTAAAGGCGGCTAATAAACCATTTTCAAACCAACCATAAAAACCCGACCCTGCGGGTTGCCGGGTTGACACGACCCGACCCGGGAAAGGCGGAAAGCTGGTCGCGCTGGGTGAGTGCGGGCGGAGTCGCGCGGGGTGGTTTGGTCGAGCGGGGCGAGTGCGCGGCGGCGCGGGGTCGCGCGTGTAGCGGTAGCGGGGTCGTGCTACAATGATGTGGTCGGGCGGGGTCACGTCTAGGGGTCGCGCGGCAGCAACGGGGTCGGGTTCGCGGGTTGACCTGTTAACCCGTCGGGTCAACCCGAACCCTACCCGTTTTTCAAACGGGTTGATTTCTGGAACCCGAACTCGACCCGTTTTGAAATCGGGTCGGGTCCAACCCGGATTTTTCGGGTCGGGTCTGGGTCGGGTTCTCGTGTCGTGTCTAATATTGACACCCCTAGTCGTAGGAGGCCTTTTTGTGTGGGAGGGGAGATAGGGAAGATTAGTTGAGCGGGAGAGGAGGGGCACGTGGAATGGAAGAGCTTTTATGAAAGAGAAATCGTGTTCACTCACTTGAGATTTTAGTTTAGATTTCATACAACAATGTGGGGAAGAAAATTAGTGGTAGATTTAAGGTATTAAAAGAGTTTTTGGTGTTAAATAAGTAAATATGCACTTAAGTTTTAGATATGCAACTTGAGATGTTTCAAGTTGTATGAATGTGAACCTCCTAAAATTAATATTGGAATATCATCGAGAATGGAATTGGTTGTTTTATAAAATGAAAATTTAACTAGTTGTATTCTATGGATGCGATTGCTGCACAATATAAAACATGTTTATTGGTAGAGTTGAAAATGCAAAGAAGGATATATTGTAAAATTATGAAGAAAAAAGTTTGAAGAGATAATATTATTTAGAAAGCTTGGGAGTAGTATATGTATCACCCCATAATACCCCTTATCAATATTGTAGAATGCCATACAAATAAACATAATGTTTTCATTCTTAACATATGATACTTTTCATCATCTGAATATTTATATAAAACATCCCATAACATTATATTTACTATATAAACGGAAGCATCTAATAACTCTAAATTACATCAAACAAATAATTACAAAGCCACTAATAAAATCTCAAATAGTATCCACCGAACTGCCTACTTACCTCAGCTGTAGACTTACAAATAGAGTTAAATACTAGCATATAAAATATAATAACTTGCAACTTATTCTGCATCGACGTTTTCCTTATATTTTCTTGTAATAACAGTCAGTATGAAAAAACTGATGAGTTATGAGACTCAATAAGTTATGCAAATTACATAGCATTTAAATTGCATAATTAAATTCACTACATTGAAATTATAAATTAAACAAACTTGACATTATTTATAAAATAATATAAAATCACATTTGACATTAACTTTTACTTCCTTTGAAATCTATATTGAATATCAATATTAATATTATGCTAAATTTTCATCAGCATGTTTAATAAAGCCCAGATAGACCTGATATTATCGCAATTGAACAACATAGAAATTCCTTTTGCCTCATTTGGGGTTCTTTTTGTCCCACATGGTATGCAGCTATCATATCTCTGAGCTCTTTATTGCCCCACTTATAATGCAGTTTTATACATGGGGATCCTTTTGCCTCACATGCATTGGTAAGTTGTACATCATTTTATATCCAAACTTTACTTAAATTGATATTCACTAAACTTCACATATTCATAATTCATACTTGTATTATTGCATGCTTTCATAGCGATCTTTCTATTATACTATTTGTATACAAAGAATGTGTATACAATATTTAAGGAAATTGACCTCTTTCCAACATATTATTAAATAGGAAAATATTTAAATGAACTACAAAACCATATTTTAAACTCATATGATTAAATTATATAAGTGGTTATTTATACTTGAAAATTTGGATTTATAATCCTTTTCTATATATTGAACAAACTTAATATCATTTTTCCCATTAATGCATTCAAAATTAACTCTCCATGCATTATTTTCCTCCTTGAATATTTGTCTCCTCAATTCCTCCACCACATACGCACTCTTCTTCGATTGTAAGTAACCTACAATCATTTCTTTTACATTTCATACATTCTACAATTACAATCTATTGCTTAATTAATTTTGCATAACATTAACTTATATTATATTTATCTCAAAACTCCCCTTCTGCACATATCCCAATAATTCCTAGAGTTGGTGAAATCTCATTTAAGGTGTTGCACTACTATTTTGAATTTAATAAAAAATTAATAAAATTATCGTATTCTTGCAATATAACCAATTTGCTTACCTTGATTTCCTCTGAATTTTTATTCTTATTCTTCTTTCCTCTATTTTTTTTCTTATTTCTCTCTGCTTGTTACTTCAGGGTATGCTTGCTGATGTCCTTCGCTGCACTATGCCGCTCCCTTGTATAGTGTCCGAAAACACTGTGCCGAAACATACATAAGCACTGTGCCGAATACTTCCTCCAATCCCGCAACTGCACTTCCTCCAGTGGCCTATGCTTGCGTGAATTCCAAACAGGGAATTCTTGATATTCACTGTGCCGTGAAATCAAACCAAATGAATAAGAAGAATTCTTCACACGGCTATAGCCTTAACATCCACTCTGCTACAGTTGACAACCCGCCACAGTCCATACTTCTCTAACCGCCTACATTGCTTGCGTGAAAAAAAAATGGAATGGAATGGAATGGATAAGAGACCCACTAACTGCTATCATACACGCACGTCCTTCTGTAACACCTCTTCAGGAATATATGACTAGTTAATTTTATTTAATACTTTACTTAATAATAATACTAAATTCACTTAATAGTAATTAATTTATTTAAGAGTGCATTATAAATAAAAAATTATAATTAAAACTTATTTAACTTTAAAAGAATCGACTTTTGTATTTTCATTACCTGTAAATTTGGATATTACAACATCAATAAAGATAACATTATAATGGATAGAAATAGGTGATTTTGTCTTATAGATTTGAAGGAAGAAAGTGGGTCATGGGTGGGAGATAGATATAAGAGAATTGGAGTAAGAAGGAAAATTTCAGGCCAAGGATAACATTGCTTCAAGTTCTTTAGAAAGATAAAATCAGGAATCAAAACCACTTGCAGCTTTTAACAATATTAAATGGAATCAAATGATTTTTAAAGTCAACTCAAATAGTTGGGATAAGGCTATCATACACTCACGTCAACTCTAATAATTTTTAAAGTCAACTCTAATAATTTTTATGGTGACATAATTGCCATTGTTGTTTCTGTTCACATTTATTCTGATTTGCTTACTTTTGAACTTCAAAGACACTGGATCTTTTTGCTCAATTATGCTGCGAAAGAAGGTATCCATACCTTAGGCTTGATGGCACAACATCTATTGGAAAAAGACAAAAGCTGGTTAATCGTTTCAATGATCCAACAAAGGTTCTTTTTAGAACATTTTTCTTGTTCAACTGTTATTATTTTGCACAAGATTTTTTAACCAAAGAGGGGAAATATAATATTGCAGAATGAGTTTGTGTTTCTTTTGAGTAGCAAGGCTGGTGGTTGTGGACTTAATTTGATTGGAGGAAATCGCTTGGTACTCTTTGATCCTGATTGGAACCCTGCCAATGATAAGCAGGTAATTATATATCTTAGCTTGATTAAATCTCTAACAACCTCAAGTAGTTGGGATACGGTGAATGATGACTGTGAGTATTTGTATATGTTTATGCTGGTAGTCTTCTTTTTTTTAATTACTGTTATAGATTTCTGACTGTTCTGTTATTGTTTTATGCCAAAAGGCTGCAGCTAGAGTTTGGAGGGATGGCCAGAAAAAGAGAGTATACATATATAGGTTTTTGAGCACAGGGAGCATTGAAGAGAAGGTTTATGGGGAAAATAACTCAATAATGCTTTTTGTTATGTACTTGGTTATTTGGTCTTAGGATGCAACCAACTTTTTTGTTTCCTCCGCTGTGTATTTTATTCTGTGATAACGCTTTTTAGGTGTACCAGCGGCAGATGGCAAAGGAAGGGCTTCAAAAAGTTATTCAGCAGGATCTAGGTGAAAGTGAGATGTTGCATGTATGAGAATTTTAGTATAACTTCCAATGCTTTTGTTGACAATGCAAAATACATAAAAAATTTTACTGCAGGGCAATTTTCTTTCAGCTGAAGATTTGCGGGACCTCTTCAGGCTTCATGAAGATGCCAAGTAATCCCTACTTAATTTTAAAATTGATCGTCTCATGTTTATAACTTCTATTTTCATGTATTTTTCTGTTTTAGTTTTTGATAGAAATTTTAATCCGTGGCATTTGCTTACTGTTGATGAAGTACCACCTAAAAAATTTTCCACTATTTATTAATTCATAATAATAAGTTGCATTAAGATTGTTTATTTTTAATATTAATTTGAGTTCTAATCTCAACACATATCCATTTGTTCATATTTGCCGTTATTTTGATAAGTTTCATACCTTTTTATTGTCTTTTTTTTTTTTCAATTTCTTTTGTATTCAACCTTAAGAATTAAAATTCTTATCATCTAGTCTCCCTTTTTTAGTGCTTTTGTCAATGCCTTGTTAAAATCAAATTCCGATATACATTATTTAAAAGCATATATAAATATGTTTGTTGTTACCATATTAAAGCCTTCATGGGGATTTAATCATATTTTCCTGTTTTATTTTCTAAATTTATTGACATAAAAAGTTGTCCCGCTTGGTGGGTGTGGGATTTCTAAATTCCTCCTTGATTCTTTGGAATATTTGAGTTATTATGGGTTATTTTTTTAGAAGAAGATTGAATTATTAGGTGGGGCACTACTCAATGATTTTGACTTCTAAGAAGGGCTTCATCATTTGGTTCAATATTTCTCATAGGTGCAAGTTTCTTTGTTAATTATCAGCTTGATTGTGAGAGAGAAATATTGATTAAGGCTAGTTTATACGTTATATGTTATTTTGATTTTGTTATGTTTTTTATTTTGGACTTTAAGATGAATGGGCATAGAATAAAAAATAACGTTGTTTTACGATTAGATGGGATGTTTAAAGAATATTAATGAAAATGTTTTTAGAGTTAGATTCTAGATCTTAAAATTTTGGCTGTGTATGAGGAAGCTAATGTTATGTAGAAAAAAATAGATAGTGATATTAAGAATGTTGCAAAAGATGTGCTTGGAGTATCAAAGAGAAAAAACTTTTAATAGTAAAAATAGTTTGTGTTGGAATTAAAATGTGCAAGAAAAAATAAAAAAATAAGAAGATTTGTTATATAAATTGGTTTAGATGTAAAAATTCTGATAATTGGGTAAGATATAAATATGTCCTTAAGGAGTCTAAGAAAGTAATATGTGAGGCAAATATTTTAGCTTTTAATGATTTATATAATAGATTAGGAGAAAAGGACCAAAATGATTCCTCAACTCTTTACGAGGGATCAAAATGGTCCCCAACTCTTTTGGTCACTCAATTTTTTAAAATGAGATATTTTTAGTCCTAACATTTAATGTTGGAGTTAATGATGTTAAATGTAAGTATTATGGTCATTAGGGAGTTTTAACGAGCTAAGTTCCGGGGTAAATTTTGAAAGACAGATGGGTTTGTAGATAAGATACTACCCAGAGATTTCGCCCTCATTTTGCGAGGACTTTATGATCCGAGTTCTGGTTTCCTATAGGCAAGCCCCTATAGTTAATTACCCCTCCCGATCACGAGAGAGAACTTTCGATTAAGGCTAGTCGTCAATCAGATACGTATAAAATACATGTTACCTGGCATATAGTAGCATCAATGGGTTTGAATATAAAAATTCAGAAAGTTGAAGGATTTGATATTTAAAGTAAAAATTTTCACCATCTTGCACACTTAAAGCGGATGGTGGGGGAATGGATGATGGGCCCGATCAAGATCCCATGGTTCCGTCGTCCCGGGTCGTGGTCGTCCCTGGTCTACTTAGTCAGAGGAGGTAATCGACACAACTTGACAGAAGGATCCTTGTCGGCAACCATGGGTTGCTTCGTCCAAGGGGACCTTGTAGACTTGGGATGAATGTCTATCTAAGGTGACAAATTTGAATCCACCTTAGCTAACAGAGGGCTTTGTGCGCTATCGATTATATCCTATTAATCCATATCTCAAGAAATTGATGCCGCTAAGGAACGTATTGGCTCTGACCATAACCGGTATTTCGTGGTGTCATTTGGCGGCAAAATCACTCTGTTCAGAGGGCTCCGGATCATAACCGTTTATCTTGCGGTGTCATTTGGCGGCAAAACCGTCGGTTAGAGGACACATACTTATTAGCATGAGATTATTTTGAGAATGGATCATAGTGATATTTTCGACTAGGCATTTGGCTCTTTGTGAGCTGAAGTAAATTTTAATTTGGGTGAATGGATTTTTGCTTTAGTATTTCGTGATTGGATTTTCAATTTTAAACATCTTGAAATTAGAATGACATTGGAATTTTGGATTGGCATTTTGAAATATTTAAAATGGACCCCTCCGGTTGAGATTTTCTATTTAACACGGCCATCATCGGGGTGTTCGGTGTCATTAAAATGAACCATGTCAACTCGACCAAGCTATTGATTGAGGATCGGGTTTCTCGTAGGTTTTATACCTTTGTTCGTGAATTTTCTTTATTATAGGTCTTGAAGGCCTAATATGAATGTATTAAATAAATATGCCGGTCGCCACAACCGTATATTTATTTGATGGTTCGAACCCTGTCGACTCCTATTGATCTGTATAGAAGGATCATATTCGAATTTGAATTCACTTATTGACCCGCGCAGCATCCTTAGACGTCACATGTGTTCCCACAACATGCTCGTCGGGGCCCATGCGGGTGTTTGAAGGTCTTTTATAATTATTTATTGAACCTTGTCGACTCCTATCTACCTGCTTAGGAGGATCATGTTCAAATTTATTGACCCGCGCAGCATCCCTAAATGTCACGTGTGTACCAATAACACGCTCGCCGGGGCTCATGCAGGTTTTGATTGTATACTCCTTTTTAGTGTACCTATGTGTATACAAGCTACAATGCATACCGGGGGGGGGGGGGTTTGAGATTTTTAACTTTGATCAATTGAGCGGGCAACCATCACTTGAATGCAACGCTCTACTTGGAAGTTCATACACGCCTTCTGTCCGCTTGTATGCATATTGCGGATCCGATGGTGTTGCGTAGCAGCTTCTAAATAGAGTTGTTCGTTGCTTTATACAGGTAGAATCGATAGGGCACAAAGCAAACTTCTTTGGTTAGACTTCTTTGAATTCAAATTTATAACATATGAATGATTTAGATTTTAGACTTCTTTGGTTAGCATTTTGTATTCAATTTGAGAGGACAATTCCTTAACATTACATTAAAGTTTTGATATCATTTTCATGTCAAGTTCTTTTTAATTGTCTCAAGTCACAATATTGAGTCATTGTTCTTTTGCATTTGTTCTAGTTCAAAATGTTGGAGCATTGCTTCAATATTACTTCAATTATTCAAATTTGATTTAAATTGTTACAAATTCAATTAGGCTCAAGTTCATGTCATGTTCCGATCAAGTTCGAGTCCAAATGAAGTCCTCCATATGTTCAAATAAAGTTCAGGCTCAACATGAGCCTCTTCCGTTCGTCGAGTCCTCTATTGTCCTTTGAATTCAAATCATGTTGAATTCAAATTCAAGTCCATCTTGAGTTTGAGCTCACTTAAGTTATTCAATCAAGTTCAAGTTGAGTTCACAATTGATTTAAGTCTCAAATTATGGTTTATGAGTTCATATTCATTTAAATTTGAATTTATTTAAATCAATCACATCAAATCCACAAGTTCCAAATTTCCCTTTGAGTTCAATCAAGTCCAAGTCCAAGCTCACTTGAGTTCAAGTTCATTTTTTTTGTTCAAGTCCTCAATATTTTCAAATAAAATTTCGGCAGCCTCCTAGAGTCTCCCCTGTTTAGGGAAAAAATTAAGAGGCAACCTTCCTCTCAGCGCTACGTGAGCGCTTCAGGTAGGTGTCAAAATGACACTGCGGTTGCAAATTTTTTACGTGAGCATTTAAGGGGTTGGAGCACAAGTTAAAAAAACACAGTTTTC